GGCCGAGTTTCCTAAGAAGTGAAGTTCCTGAATTCACGTATTTGAAAGTTTTGTATTTTTTATTTTGATCATTTTTTCGACAATTGTCAATGATTCAACTTGACACTACCAATTGTATAGATTCAAAATTGATCAATCACACAATCTTACATCAAGCATTTGTTTGCAACGCCTACTTAAATAAAATGAAAAAAGAGAAAAAAAACACGTTTGTTTATAACTTAGTATATTACTAATCTCTCAATGTATGCAATTTATTTAAAAAAACACATAGGATGTCAACCCTAACACACAAGTAGACGAGTATGCAAGGCTCACCTAGTTTGCTACACAGATATCCCCGTTTGCCTCAGAAGAGTTGGAAGTAGACCTAATTTCCACGTTGGAAACACTTAACACCCACGGCACAACACTAAAACACCACTGAGAGACAATCGAGAACCCTGTAGTGTATACCACTACTAAAAAAAATAGTTTAACCGAATAGAGCTCACACGTAGCTGTGAACGCGTGGACATTCCGCTGCGACGACGGTTGCCGAGAGACTGAAGTGAGTGATGCACCTCGCTGCGGCGATACAGTACGGCCGGGTAGTACAGCCGCTTTCCCCTCTCCCACTCCGCGCGTGTGCGTTTTCTTATCTGGCAGTATCACGAAGCGACTCGATGTTTACGTTGACCGGGAGCAGACCCGCGGAGTGGGAGCTAGAAAGGGGCGTGACTGTACGACCTGTCCGTACCGCAGCGCGTCTGCTCCCGAAGCCACTCGATGTTTACGTGGACCAGTAGCAGACGCGCGGAGTGGGAGCTGGAAAGGGGTAGCTTCACTACCACTACCCGGCCGTACGGTATCGCCGCAGCGAGGTACAGCACTCACAGTGTCTCCAACGTGGAAATTAGGTCTACTTCCAACGCTTCTGAGGAAAACAGGATATATGTGCAGCAAAGTAGGTGAGCCTTGCATATACTCATCTACTTGTGTGTTAAGGTTGACATCCTAAGTTTTTGCACCTGATATTGTAATTTCATTTTCATAGAACTACCAACATAGAAAAATATAGTAGACGACAACGATATTGTATTCGTTTACATTTTTTCTGATTGTCATAAAACGGCTATAAAATCGAGAACCGGAGGCATGAGGACAGAGCCGAATTTGAAAATTTTAAAGATCTCCTCTTGCAAGTCTGGAAGAGATGACTGAATCAAGTTGTTGAAGTTACGTTAAAAGTAGTTAAATATACGTATGTAAGTGATGGTAGCGATGCCAAAGATGTAAAGTTACTTACCTAATTTGCTATGTTGAGGAGCCTTCTTCCAGAAACACGCACTTCAAGATCATTCACCTAAATACATATTTCATTTCACTTTTTTCACTTTACTCTTCTTTATTAAAAAATGTGCTACAAAACTTAATCCTTTTCTTCCGAAGAATATGTTCTCGAGTACCGCTCTGCTGCATCGCGATGAATTCACCTGCGTGCGGGGCTCGGGACGGGGGGTGTTCAGGTCTTCATAGCGCCGTCACATTATGTGAACTTTTGCTATGACAGTATCGAAACAGTGCGATTTTCTAGATTCATTCATCATTCATTCCATCTATGTCGAAGTATTAGAGCATTTTAGGTTATTGCACATTGCCCAAATGTATAATTTATACAGATTCCATTATTATTTATACCGTATAATATAATGACCGTACTATATGGCGGGTGGGTAACACAAGGAAGTAGAAACAACATTCTAGCTAAATAGCAAAGGTTGCAAAATTGTCCGATGAGCTGGCAACGCCGCAATCTAGGTGACAAAAATGACAAGATCGTATGTCTATCCCGAGGTAACGACGGCGTCATTTAGTACGTCAAAGCGGCAGTTTTCCAATCTTAATTCGGATTTTCTAGCGGTATGCAACGATTTCCAGAAAAATTTAGCTGCGGATAGACTAGTAGAGTATATTTCAATAGTTGTCTTGCATGGCCATGTTATCTTTACTCGGGCCAAAAACTCATTGGAGATGAAATTAGTAGATACGGATATTTGTCATAATTAGCGATGAGAAAGGGGTTGCCAGTGTTAACAAAAAAAATGTTACTACATTTCGGTTAGAATCTTAGTAACATTTCATTTCGCAGGATTGGCAACGAATGAAATATTGACCGCCTTTCTCGCCGACACATGCGCAGAATCAGCATAAACAAAAATGGGCTCCTGGAAGAAAGCCACTTTTTTCCCGCTAAATAAACGGAGTGTCTTGGAGGTGGTTTTGACCGAAATCTGAATGAAAATGGACAAACTAGACCGTTTTATAAAGTTAGCAAAAGCTGGCGAAGGCACTTACGGCGTGGTCTACAAGCCAAGAACAAGCTGACTGGCAAGAATGTGGCTCTCAAGAGGATTAAATTGGAAAAGTAAGCTTTGTGCCTATTTGGCGTCCGCTGTCGAAAAATATTTTGCATGTTGCACGCTCGTTTTCCAGGAATACTTTGCTTGAACAGGCTGAACCATCAATATTACGTAAATTGGAATTGAGTTTTAATTTTACATTATTTTATTTGCATGCTTTATCACAGATCATTTCAACGCTGATGCGAACATCTAACCGATTAATTTGTAAGATGCCCAGCTGAATCTGTGTGTGTTTACGTTTTGTACTATATCGTAGCACCACATGATTCAGCTTAGAATCTTATGCAGCATCATCGCTACTAACTGTAAGTAACATTTTTTTATAATGCTATTTTATATCCTCTTTATCATTCACGTATCAACAGGCAGTGCAGAAAAAAATAGCTGGGGGCTTCAGGTTTCCATAAAAGTCATGTATTTGATGAGTTAGGGAGCATGTGCCTCTAGGAGGAAAGCACAGGCTTGAAGCAAAAGCATAGGCCTCACATACTGCTCTGATAGATGATGAATCAGACCACAATTCTTGTATTTATATGATTCTAAAATACTTTTTGTATGTATTTAGGTATCAGTCAATTTTTTATACAGGTTCTACAGAGATGATGGGGAGGCAGAAGGTGTACCACCCACAGCAAATTCGTGAAATTAGCCTTCTTAAAGGACTTAGACACTCGTCGATAGTGGAATTGCTAGATGTGATGCAAACCACTGATAAATTGTATTTAGTTTTTGAATACTTAGATCTTGATCTCAAGAGGTACTTGGATGGTACTAGATCACCACTAGAAGCTGAACTTATAAGGGTAGGTTTATATGAATATCCAAAACTGATGCTCATTTTTGCATAAAATATTTTGAGTATGCTGTTGTGGAAAAATGCCCCTCACTGTGTATTTTTGTGGAAATTTTCTGATATCTAAATCATTGGTTGTATTTATTCGCATCTCAGAGGTATCCAGCACGTTGAGTTCATTTTTAGTTATTGTTAGTTTATTAGCAGATCATTCATCAGCTATGAGCTAGTATCTTAGGCAGCTCTAGGATCAACCTGCTGAATGCTATTGTCATATATTTTCAGAGCTACATGAAGCAATTGATAGAGGCGCTAGCGTACCTGCATTCACACAGAATTCTCCATCGCGATTTGAAACCTCAGAACCTTCTAGTCGATAAAGAAGGCCACATTAAACTTGCAGATTTTGGACTGTCAAGGTCTTTTTCACTACCTACCCGTACTTATACCCACGAAGTGGTAACAGTATGGTATAGGGCGCCAGAGCTATTATTGGGAGCTAGGATGTATTGTACTGGGATCGATATATGGAGTTTGGGTTGTGTCATGGCCGAGATGGTAAGAAAAAATTAATTGATACTGAAACTTTCAAGATACTGTAGACTTTTAGACAGGATTGATTTTTCAATTTTAATCTTGATTTAAATAACTGAAATGACTTTTCATCTGTTCAACAATTCCTTGTAATTTAAATTTCCATTTTTTACAGCTTTTTGCTTCCTGTTTTTCCATCTGGTTTATTCGATGCAAAAATCCATATATTGTCATTTTTTTTCTTCAAATCGTATTTCTAATATACAGGGTGTTTCAGTTTATTGTTGCATAACTTTAAGATTCGATTAGAACTTTTAAAATGAATGCATAAAGTCTATATAAACATGGGTCGAAAAATGCGAAATACTAACTATCCAATAGCATTTCAGTTGTAAATAATTAATTTAATTTGTTAAAAATAATATTGGAGAATTAAACAAATCAATATTGTTTTTTGTGTTTGTTTGGAGTTAGGAATTATTGCTGTGTTTAAAAACACAATCTAAACGATCATCTTAATTACTTGTAATGCCCAAATCTAAAATGTAAAAAAATATATTATTTCGCATAAATAATTAAATGCATCGAACCTTAAAAATCGAAATATCTCAAAAACGGCTAACTATAACGAAAACTCACAAGAGTGCTTTTTTATGCAGAAAAGTGCAAAGAATCAGTTTTTTTATTCAAAAAGCAAAAAATTGTACTAAGAAATTTTTTTCGGTAATTTTAATACACTACAGGTACAGTAGAGAGCGCCCTCTAGCGGCTACATTAAAACTAGGCCCATGGTTCGTTTTCTCGTACCAAAAAACCCTTGTATACCAATTTTCACTATTATACATCAAATATTGTTCGAAATATTTAAAAAAAACTATTTTAAAAAGTAAATTTAAACACCCTGTATTTCGGAAGCCACGCATTTTTCGACCCGTGTTTATATAGACTTTATGCATTAATTTTAAAAGTTCTATCGAATCTTAAAGTTATGCAACAATAAACTGAAACACCCTGTAGAAAGATGCTCTAGAGACTGCATCTCCAGGGTAATAGCTTTACCATAATTTGGAAAAACTCTGGAACCTCATCAACATCAGAATCTTCAGAAAGTTGTTGTGGTTCAATTGAATTTTCAATATCTGTAAAAAAGTAGACTTGACTTCCGGCACTTACTCAATCTGACCTTCGAGTGACCTCTAGATGCTCTTAAAATGCCTCGTTACGGACAAGCTGATCTCAGATTCGGATTCAAAAAACCTATAAGCAAGACAGTTGAATACCGAATTACTTTATAAAACTTACTATGTACTTTTTCAAAATCTCACCTAAATCTGACCTTCACCATGGCAAGGAGGAGATTCATATAAGTGTCGTTTATGGTGAAATGATTTAGTTATTTTATACATGAAAAATAATGACTTTTATCTTTTTGATAAAAATTGAATTGAGCCGAAAACGAGAACTAAATAATATATGAAATTTTTCACATCCAACCACTGCAATTCTTCTAACATAGACTTAATCCTAGTATCTTTGTTTTTATTTAAAATGATTCTCATAGCTTTATTTTGTAGAATGTTTGAAAATATGTTTTTATTTGCTATAAACAAGATGGTTGAACAATATAAAAAATGGGGAAGAATTATACTGTTGTACACAATTTTTTTGGAATATATACTAAGATTATGGGAAACTCTATAGAAGTAATTTATCTTTTTCGATGTTTTTGAAATAATGTATTCATAATGTTCGTGAAACAGTAGCTTACGATCCACATATATACCAACATATTTAAATGACTCGACTCTCCAATTATATTGAAACAATCATTTAGAATATTTTTTGAGAGATTCTCACTTTTTTTACTACTTGTAACCTCATTGACTCCACATCAAAACAAACATGAGCATTCAAACTTCACTTCTATTTACATGTCGATTTGATTCCATCTTGGACCCTTACAAACTATTCAAGTAGATATCTTCCATTTTCAGTTTACCAAAAGAGCAATTTTCCCTGGGGATTCGGAGATAGACCAACTATATAAGATTTTCAAAATATTGGTACACCTTCTGAAGGTGTGTGGGAGGGAATTTCGCATTTTCCGGAATATACCAAAGCTTTTCCTAAATGGAACCTCATAGATATGAATGAGATTATCAATTTTCATTCGGAGGAAGAAGAGGCATTTTTGATGGTGAGAAGCGTTTGAATATTTCTATATAAAAACCGTATTTTTTTCAAAATATAGAGTAGATTCTTAAAGCTTCGAAATGCTATTTTCAAAGTCTAGATACGACCGTTTTTCACCTTGATACAACCTAACAAAAGTCACTGAAAACTCGCTACCTTAATTTTTTTGAGAATTCTATTTTTGCTCTGGTAGTCATTTGATAACGATTTTAATTGTGGTGACAATTGCCGCTAGTATTTTTTTAAGGAACTTGATACATTTACCTGTATTATACTTTTTTGAAATCCTGTTCAAGCGGCGTATTTTGAATTATTTGCAGCATATGTTGGTGTACAATCCATCTAAAAGGAAGACGGCAAAAGAGCTGCTGAAGATGAACTATTTGAAAGGTGCTAAATTAACGGCGCCTGATATGAATGCCTTTCCGCCAGAACAAGAGGCAGACACAGAGTAGGAAGCAGATTGTTTTTAAGATTTTGTTTTAAATTGATTTATTCTAATTTTATGTGTTAAGTGTTGAAGTGTAATATAATTTTTACCATCACTATTTATGTTGATTTAAACCTATACTGCCTCGCCTGGTTCAGTCGTAAAAACGATTTGATTGCTTACAAGACCTCAAACATCGAAATTAACAATTTATAATCATGACTTTGACTCCAAAAACCTATTTTCTTAGTTCAAAAATTGGACTTCGCGATACTAGGATTTTTTGATGACCATATTTGGAATCACCTAGCACATCAGTAACTGAGCAACATGTTTGTGACTTGTCGGATTTGACGTCTAACATATAAAAAAATGGCGCCGAGTAGTTCCTCCTTGATTTTCATAGTGTTTTACTGTTCCGCGTCAGCGATCTTTTTTGAGGTTATGTCACAAATACCTATTTGCATCAAATTGCTCATGTTATCGTTTTCAGTATGGAATTGCACGCAATTCAAAAAGAAAACAGTTGAAATCTAATCTGCGTTTCTGAGGAACGAATAACTATGAAAGGCAAGCTACAATTGTAAGAAAGACTGGCTATATGGCCCTAAAGTACCTAATCGCCAAGCAATCCATTTTAGTCGCCATTATTTAAAATCGCCACCTTGGCGTAAAGTGGCCACGCCCGGCAACACTGCTTCCAGCCTACAAAAAACACTGAAGTAAACACTTGTTTTGAATCTTCCTATCACGCACATGTAGACGCCTACTAGAAAGAATCGGCCACAGAGAGAAATAGTGGTTTTCTAGGATTGGCCAAACGGTAACCAATACGATCATCGTTGGAAAAAAAACACTTTTTGTGTTTTACTAGAACCAGTCTTTCATAATCTTTTGTAGCCAATGGCTGTTCGCTGTGTTATTTGAAATGGCGTTTTTCGTATTAAATATTGTATGAATACCCTTACGATTGGTGGGACCGGTGGGACGCGTTTTGATTGTATTATAGAGGAATCAAAAGGGTTTATCAGGCAGATCGAAGTACATAAGTAGCTTAGTCCTTTTGAGACGCAGGAGCAGGAGCTAAAATACTCGATTGGCGTCGGAAGAATAGTTCACAGGTTGGTGATGCGTACATATAAAAAAATGCCGTCAAGTAGATTGACTCTATACTTCCTACGTCTTCGTTAGAGTTTTCAAAGAAAAGGGACGAGTCAAAGCGTTTCAACAGGCGAAATCGATTCGTGATTACGTAGGTTCACTAAGGCCCGTATCGTCAGTCGTCCCTACAATTGTAGGGCGCCTTTGTGGCCTCCTTGATTGTCATAGTTTTCTACTTCTCCGTGTCAGCGCTCTATTTTGAGGTTATGTCACAAACATCTATTTGCATCAAATTGTGCTTGCTTTTGAGTTATATCATGTTTTATCCGCCTGAAATTTCCTACAATTTAAAAGGAAAACAAATCTTCCCAATAGGAGAGCGCTGACGCTGACACGGGACAAGTGTAATCTAGTAATTTTTGAAGGAGAGAAAGGAGTATGACAATCAAGGAGGCCATAAACGCGCCCTACAATTGTAGGGACGACTGACGATACGGGCCTAAGGTACGATGAATCTTCGCTTTCTGCTTATCGACGTATACAGGGTGATTTTGAAGTTGAGTCATTAATTTTCAGATAATGATTGTAGAAGGAAGATAAACCAAAATATGTGTGTAAAAATAAAAAAAAATTTACCTTGTTTTATAAAGTATCCTCCCGACAAGTATTTCAGTGCGGACCTGTATTTGATCGTGAGGTCTCGGAGCACCGGCATGCCGTCACCTGATTCACGAGCCCGTTGTACTACATTAACAAAGGCACGAGGGGTTGGTTGCACTCGATTGGGAAACCGATCCGCATAAACATGTGCCATTTTTTATTTCGTTTGAGCCACGCAACAGACACCACTATTCACGCACGCGTTACCGACTGACACTGACTGTATACAAATGAATGAAATAATTGTAAAAACATCGTTCCAAATTCTTTCGCTTTGTTGTTTCCGATGCGATGAACCGATAAGGCGGATTATATCCGTTGTCGCCAAACACGAGCACATAATATTATATATTGAGACAGGGCTGTACTCAAACTTCCAAAGGGCTATAACTTTGTTACTTTAACTTTACCAGAAAAATGGTAAAGGAAAAAAACATTTATTTTGATCAGATCTACTCACTGTTAAAATAAATGACTCAACTTCGAAGTCACCCTGTATAAAGCAGATGTAGGGAAAATATAAGTGACTTATTATGTTTAACAGGTGCATAGTAACACTCAGATAAGCAGTTTCTTAACTGAGCAACATGCTTGCGACTTGTTGCTGTCAACATCCGAGGTGATGCCTAACAAAAAAAAAACGTCAAGTAGATTGACTCTATACTCGCTACGCCTTCGTTGGAGGTGTCAAAGAAAAGGGATGATTCAAAGCGCGAAATCGAATCGTGATTAGTTAGCTTCACTTAGGGCCGTATTGTCAATCGTTCCTACAATTTATTGTAGGACGTCTTTGAGGCCTCCTTGATTTTCATAGTTTTCTACTGTTCCGTGTCAGCGCTATTTTGAGGTTATGTTACAAATATCTATTTGCATCAAATTGTTCACGCTTTTGATTTATATCATCTGTATATCAGCCTGAAATTACCTACAATTCAAAAAGAAAGATAGACTCATAATAGGAGAGTGCTGACGCTGACTAGGAACAGTAGAAATCTAGAAATACACCTGCGTTTCTGAAGGAGAGAAAATACTATGAAAATCAAGGTAGGAACGCCTGACGATACGGGACCTTACCGCATGCAGCTTTCAACCAGGGTTGCCAAGTTTTCAGTCACGTTGGTCGCCAAGTTTTGATGAGAAAATCGCCATTCCTTAAAGTGCAAATTAACTAGGAGTCTAATCGTTAAACGCCAGGTTAGAGAATGGAATGGATTTGTCATCGGGGTGGGGGAGAGGGGTAGTAGCCTGCCTGATGACGATAACTGAAGAGGGGGAGTTAGGCATAATAAACTAAACAATTCCTTGAAAAGCGGGTGCTGAACATGTTTAATATGAAAAACTATAAGTTCATCTAGAGGGGCATTTTGATGTGAAGAGACTTTTGGGAGTTTTTGATCTTGGACAACGGAAAAACGGGGAGGGGGGTTACCGACTACTAAAAATTTTCTGCGTATTTACCTTTCCCAGCGATTTTTTTTTGGGGGGGGGGGGGATGGGATGTCGTTAATATGCTTGGAACACGACACGTTGACGTGGCATTTGACCATAATACTTGTTATATTTTCCATTTTTCATATTTTTTTATGATTGATGTGTTTATGTATATAATAAAAACATATATTCGGTACAACACATGTATGTTGTTATTATACACGTATAAATGAATGTATAAGCTCTAAATGTTGCACAAATGTTTTTATTGACTTTTATTTCAAATTTTATTCAAAATTTTCGTCAACCAGTCAAACTGGCGGCGATATTTCGTATGCTAGCTTGTATTATTGCTCAGTGCAAATAAACGTTAAATAAATACGGTTAAAATTTAATGTGCCTCAATCATTCAATACCAAGAATCAAATCATTTTACCTACTTATGAAAATCACCTTTGCTAAGGTTAATTTCACCGGACTATATCCTCTAACCCACCTACATAGACTACTCTGGATATAGTCCGGTGAAATTAACCTTAGCAAAGGTGATTTCATAAGTAGGTAAAATGATTTGATTCTTGGTATTGAATGATTGAGGCACATTAAATTTTAACCGTATTATTTAACGTTTATTGCACTGAGCAATAATACAAGCTAGCATACGAAAATCGCCGCCAGTTTGACTGGTTGACGAAAATTTTGAATAAAATTTGAAAAAAGTCAATAAAAATTTGTGCAACATTTAGAGCTTATACATTCATTTATACGTGTATAATAAAACATACATGTGTTGTACCGAATAATGTTTTTATTATATACATAAACACATCAATCAATAAAAATATGAAAAATGGAAAATATAACAAGTATTATGGTCAAATGCCACGTCAACGTGTCGTGTTCCAAGCATATTAACGACATCCCATCCCCCCCCCCCCCAAAAAAAAATCGCTGGGAAAGGTAAATACGCAGAAAAATTTTTAGTAGTCGGTAACCCCCTCCCGTTTTTCCGTTGTCCAAGATCAAAAACTCCCAAAAGTCTCTTCACATCAAAATGCCCCTCTAGATGAACTTATAGTTTTAATCATATTAAACATGTTCAACACCCGCTTTTCAAGGAATTGTTTAGTTTATTATGCCTAACTCCCCTCTTCAGTTATCGTCATCAGGCAGCTACTACCCCTCTCCCCACCCCGATGACAAATCCATTCCATTCTCTAACCTGGCGTTTAACGATTAGACTCCTAGTTAATTTGCACTTTAAGGAATGGCGATTTCTCATCAAAACTTGGCGACCAACGTGACTGAAAACTTGGCAACCCTGGTTGAAAGCTGCATGCGGTAAGGTCCCGTATCGTCAGGCGTTCCTACCTTGATTTCATAGTATTTTCTCTCCTTCAGAAACGCAGGTGTATTTCTAGATTTCTACTGTTCCTAGTCAGCGTCAGCACTCTCCTATTATGAGTCTATCTTTCTTTTTGAATTGTAGGTAATTTCAGGCTGATATACAGATGATATAAATCAAAAGCGTGAACAATTTGATGCAAATAGATATTTGTAACATAACCTCAAAATAGCGCTGACACGGAACAGTAGAAAACTATGAAAATCAAGGAGGCCTCAAAGACGTCCTACAATAAATTGTAGGAACGATTGACAATACGGCCCTAAGTGAAGCTAACTAATCACGATTCGATTTCGCGCTTTGAATCATCCCTTTTCTTTGACACCTCCAACGAAGGCGTAGCGAGTATAGAGTCAATCTACTTGACGTGTTTTTTTTGTTAGGCATCACCTCGGATGTTGACAGCAACAAGTCGCAAGCATGTTGCTCAGTTAAGAAACTGCTTATCTGAGTGTTCTATGCACCTGTTAAACATAATAAGTCACTTATATTTTCCCTACATCTGCTTTATACAGGGTGAC